CCCCAAAACCCCAAAACCCCAAAACCCCTTAAGGAATAATACAATATGGATTTAGAATCAAAGAAAATTAAATTAAAATTATATTTCAATTCAATTTAATATATTTTCATTGGTCAGTGATTTCAAAATTCTCTATTACTATTAATTTTTTCGATAAAATATCTAAAATTTCACTTTACTGTTTTTACTCATATTTATAAGAGATTAGCTATTGAGACTTGGGTTATAATTATAAATCCCATTAATATAGGTCTTCTTATACTTCTTCAATATTCAATAGCTAAATAGCTCCAATTTTCCAATTCTTGCGAATTGAAGGCAATAAATTATCTTAAGTACTCAAAACCTATTATTCAAATTCATCCTATAGTGAAGTTTCTCTCCTAAAATCTCCATTATTAGTTGAATTCTCGATTAAGATTTTTATTCTTTTAGATTTAGACTTTTGTTTCTTCTTCTTTTTTTTATGTTTTGAATTTCTGGATTATTTTTTATTTAAAGCAGATGTAGGACTCGATGCTACCTTTATCTAAAGCTAATTCTTACTTATGATCCTTCTTTTTATTTTGAAAATTAAAATCTATATTTTGCTCTCAAATAGCAAAGAAAATACCATTATTTGATAAATAATCATTACAGCTATGTTTAGATTTTATAGATTCTAATTTATATTCACTATCTAATTTATATTAAATGCATTAATTGACATTCCAAATTATCCATAAAGATTTGCGATTATACAAAGCTAAAATAAAATTTCTGCATATTATAAAGTTTAAGATACTTTTACATTAAATTACATCAAAATCAAAATTGTACTAGCAATAAGTTAGGGAAAAACTTGAAAAGATAATGGCAGCATTGCTACTCCAAGGCCAATCATAAGCCTTCTTAAGAAAAATATAAATAATTGCAAGCAGTTCTCATTTTTGATACCTAATTTTTCTATGAATATATCCCATAATTATTTCTAGCTATGATCCAGTTACTTTTAAGAGGAGATTAAATTGTTACCTATATCTGTAATAAATCTTGGTTTATCTTATTTATCACTAACTTAAGATTAACAATGCTTTTCTTAATTTCTGTGAATCTTAAAAATTTGATAGCCTATTCCAATCGGTAAAAATGAAAAGAGTACTAGTAGTACTGTATAAAGAATACTATAGAAAATTTAACTAAGAGTATTGGAGGTTAAGTCCATATCTCTTTTATTAATAGCCAAGCAAGCTAATAATAATATTTTTAAGTACGATAATTAAAATATCTTTATAATTATTCCTCTATTAAATGAGTGATATAGTTTAACAAAAGCATTGGCAATTTTGCTTCTCTCTTGATTTATAGATTCAAAAAATCTTTTTATTATTTGATTTTTCATAGTTATTTATTTTAGCACAATAGTAAGAAATCGATAAACTCCAAAAACTAATAAAATACCAATCATTCCATTTAGTTGCCACTATATTTAATAGGAAGAGTATCCAAGGAATTAGAATTTCAAATCAATATCTGACCAATTTTGATCAGGATTAAATTCTTAAATTATGTTTGGCAAAAAATTGAAAGTTGACACTAAGTTGAGTGCATTATAAAATTCTATTTAATCAAGAGGAACTTCATTATTAAATAGAATAGTATGAGATATTATTTGCAAGGAATCAAGCATCAAGAATGTGAGGGTTCCAATCTATCATCTGTAGATTAATAGTATAGGAAATTTACATTTAGATTGAAAAGACTAAATTAAATATCAAAAGATAAGCTATATATTGTTTGAAATATCTTAATCCTTGATTAGATGAAACCTAATAAGAGTAGTTTTGATATTTTATCTCCAGGACTATAAGGTAAAAATTTTTGGAGAATTAATTTTACTCGAAGTAGTTTGTTGTTGTAGTTGAAATCTAATGGAATAAGCACTAAGTTATTAAAATTAAAGCTATGTTTATAGATTAAATTATAGCTTATAGAGTTTGTCCTATAAAAATAGTTAGAGTATTTTTAACTTACATCCTTTCCAGCAAATTTGTTGATTTAAAATTATGGAACCAAGAATGATAATAATCCATTACCTAGATACATTAATTCTATTTAACAATTATCAATTTAATCTTCGTTGTTTCTCTATATAAGTAAATAATTGTAATTTTCATTAAACCTTGCCAAATTTATAATCATTTCATAACCTACTAAATCATCTTTCAAATTGATTATCATTTGAAATGTATCGTTATTTCCTTAGTCATTAAAATTTAAATTATCACATTTAAAGGTAACAGGTTCATCTTTTATCTAAACTCAAATTATGTACTTTGATTAATTAAAACCTCTCACTGCATTATATGATTGAAATTTAAGATTATCATTATTTTCAATGATTAATATTAACTCATATCTTCCTATATCTCTTTGTTAAGGCTTAAAGATTAAAAGCTATTATTAGATCGATACAAATTAAGGTCTGTTAGGTATGAAAATGTTATAATCGTTTGAGCTATTACTAATTACATCTGGTAATTATATAGAAGTTATTTTGTTGACAAAAACATCAATATCCTTTGGCTCATTCTAAAATCTTGGAATAATAATAGCATTTTAAGATCCAAGATTAGAATTAAATGATGAATTTAGCTTGACTGAATCTTGATTTGTATAATTATTTTTATATTCTTTATGAATTACTAATATCCATAAAATTTCATATATAGTTTATTACATTTTTTCAGGATCCTTTACTTCATCATCCTCTACTTGTACTCTTGTCATAAATTAAATATTGTGAGTTTCTTCATTACTATCATCGTTGAATATTTAAGAATTCTTTGCTAAGTTTATTGTGTATAAGATATAATTGTTTTGAGAAACTGAGATGAATTATGGCAGTGGGTAGGGTAATACATGCTCACTATTTTTAAATTGATTGCAGGTAAATACCTTTTTCACACTAGCATTTATGACGTCTATAACTAATTAGCCTTAACCTATTCTATAAGGATAAGATGGAATGCTTAAATTTCTGCTAGTATCGCATGATATAATAATATAAATCCTAAACTTTTTTAAAAAAGCTCTCAATGAATTATCATAGAAGAAATTAAAGTCTCTATAATAACTACCTATCGAGTATTTACTTGAGGTGTTAACAATAAATTAATGATTTTTCCAGTCAAAAGTAAATGGATTTGTATAGTTTATTGGAGACTTAGCTTCTTCAATTGTTAATATAGGGTCAGGACAAGTACTATATGGCTTCTTGTACCCTTTATTGATGTCAATAATTTATGGTGAAGAATATAGATGATAGACTACCTTTAAAATCTCATATTAATGTTCGCAAGATAGAAGTTAAACTTAAAGCTGGAGATAAGTACTCAGACCACTTGGGTAAGAGACATCAAATAAAAAGCTGTCAGTTGAATAGGAATTCTGACGATCATTATAACTTAGCATCAATAATCCGTTTTCCAATCTATACTAATTCTAAAATTATCATTAATTGCTAAACTTAAAATATCTCTTCTGATCCTAACAATTTTCATCTCCCTAAATGAATTTATTAAGATCTGTTATAACTTCATTGGGATCTTATATAAAAAACTTCAGTGTCATCCCATTTAAAGCTTTGATTTTGAATTTGCTATCACAGAGACTAGTATAAGTTTTGAAGAATTATGAAGACTCTTAGTACTATAAGTTTTATACTTTATCTTGAAACACAATATTTCCTTCTCTAAATATATTCAACTCATCCAATTCCTTTATCAAATATTGTTAGGTATAATAAAGATTGTACGATATAGTCTAATCAGGCTTATAGCCACTTGCACATGAAAAGTTTCTATTGTTAGTATTAACAATAGAAGAAGCCTTAGAGAAGCCATAACATGTTCCACCACTAAATATTATGTTATTATCATCCACTATTATAGCATGTAAAGTTTATATTAAACAAGTTTAAGTTACACTCGTTTGTACTATTGAAACTTTAGTTGTGTTGATAAAACTGATTCGGTAGATAATTAAACTAATTGGTTTTATATTTGAGCTTGCTACCACTAGAAATTTTTCACCATTCTACATTTTTACATCTCTACATCTTCGTTCTATTTAAATCTCTGTAAATTTGGTATCTTTTTGCCCAGATGATAAATTAGCTTTAATAAGTGAAAACTACATCCAATAATCAGTTTCATTATTCTTTTGAGTATGGGAACATATTCCAAGATATTCAATTTAAGAATCTTTATCTTTAAAAATATCAAATTCTGATATATAGGTTTTAGAAGAATCTTCAAATGTTTTATTATATTAAAATGCATAAGCCCGGAGTTACTAAAAAGTCATTAATTCAAATTTTATAATGCCTAAAGTTGCACCATGATTAAATGCATCATAGACATATGTGCTTTTGTAGTTTAGATAGAGTTCATTTTCATCTATTAATATGGATAGTAATTAATAGTTTCCTTTCGAAGAGTCTATTACTTTGGACCATTTTTAATCCAATCTAGTGGTTAGGTGATTTAAGTCCAAACATGCGATTACATTTATCATTTGGTTTCTGTTAAAAGCAGTTATATATAGTAAGTTATCATCAGTAAAAATGATTGAATTGTGCTAATTTATTTAATACAGTGGATTTGGATAATCAGAAGCTTCTCTATATATTTTTATTAAATTTCCATCAGTAGAATTTAATAAAAGTAGTTGATTTTGACCATCATTGAGTTAGTAAATAGACAATATTTTCTAATTTGAATTCTAAATTGTTTGAATTTTTACAGATATTACCTACTGTAATTCATTATTTTGCAACGTCCTTAACCATTTAACATCATTTATTCCTTGATACTAGAAGAACAGAGTATTTCCAAAATTATTAAGAGTAGTCAGTTGAGCTATTCCACAAGCGATTATGTTTTAGCTGCTATCTATATCAAAGACATCAGTTCTAGATTAAGAATTCTACTTTTAATCATCAAATGAAAAAGGAAGCTACCAATTATAGCAGTTTTCTAAATTACTTGATTAACCCATGAGATTAAATATGAGTATCAATATAATTAGTAGTTTTCCTTAGAAAGTTAACTATTGAGATAATTAGTGGATTTAAATTTGTGTTTTAAGTAATTTATGAGGTGTTAGTATTGAGATAGAATTAGAATTCTAAGTAAGATCTTTCGTTTCTTAAATATTAGTTATAAAATGATGCTTTTATTGATTTTTAATTTGCTTCGTTTCTTGCATATTGCTGGTATTATTTGATCAATAAAATAGGATATTCTCGTTTTCAATCCAGTAAAATAGTCTCTCCATTTAAAATTAATAATTCCTTTATATGACATGAGAGTTTAATTATATTAAATATTATTATCTTACAATAAGATT